GTTGAGAATTTATAGCATATAAACTACATCGCTTTTTTATTGCATGTGCATTCTTTTGTGTGCATGTCTTACTCCTTAAATCTGTGAGCTATCTTTGTACAAGTTGTTTTCAGATTGTCTTGAGAAATGTTACAATTTTAAAATCTAATATTGTAAAAAAAAGGAACATCTTTGATTGTTTAGGGGACTTGGTTTTATTTTATTTGTATTACCCACTAGCAAATAATTATTTTTTTCTTGGGGGGGGGGGGGGGCTCAGATACCCTTTAAGAACATTACATCCAGCCTACAAATCAGATATGAATAATTAAAGACCAATTCAGGAAAGTCCTGTACTTAGGAGGTTTGGAGGTATCGTTTGTGGAATTGCCCTTATAATGTACTTTCAAAAGCATTGCTTTATCGCAACCTTTTGATTTGACAGACTCTATTACCAGATATTTGAACGGGCCTATGGTTCCTCTGATGGAGCAGACATGATTGCATCAGTAGAGGAGAAAGTGATTAGCACGTTCAATGCCGAGGCTGGGATGACGTGTGCAAAGATGAAGAAGACCAGCAACCAGGACCTTATCATTGCAATTTGCACACCATTGATGCAGCGTGTCCACACCATGATGGGCCATAGTAGTGAACTTGTCTTCATAGATTCTACAGGTATTTAGTATAAATCCAAATACATGTATATGAAGTATTTTAAGTGAGGGAATATAGAAGCATTCTAGGGATCTCTAGCCTTTCATGTGCATAATATTGAAGTTTGAGACATATTATTATTCATCACTTGTTGCTTAATAACCTTTAAATAGTCTGTGCCTCTTTATTATGTGTATTTTTTTAATTCCTAAGGTCTATTTTGTTTCATACCAGGTAACGTTGATCGTCACGGGAGTAGAGTATTCTTGCTGCTCACACACAGCTCATCGGGTGGTATTCCATTGGGGGTGATCATAACTTCCAATGAACAGGAACAAACCATCACGGAAGGCCTGCAACTGCTTAAGACCATTTTTCCAGCTGGGGCCTTTGGAGGAAATGGTGATCAGGGTCCAGCAGTCTTCATCACCGATGACTGCACTGCAGAAAGAAAGGCCATTCATTCTGTCTTTCCACAGTCGTCTCTACTCCTGTGCACTTTTCATGTCCTGCAGGCAGTGTGGCGATGGCTGTGGGACAGCAAACACGGAATAGAGAAGCTGCATCGACAAGGCTTGTTTTTTCATGTGAAGCGAATGATTTATGCCAGGGATGAAGAAGCTGTTGAGGCAGCCTATCATCAAGCAAGGAGCGATCCTACTGTGATGCGGTAAGCATGGCTAAGAACAGAACTTTTAAAATAGGCTTGAATATGACATAGGCTTTAATCCTCTTCACCAAATTGACTTTTGAGAGTAGAAATATTCAGGATGATAGTACAGCTGAATCTCACTATAATGAAGTCCTTGGGAACAGGGAAATTGCCTCTTTATATTGAAACCTTGTTATATGAGGGCTAAAATACAATAAAATATAAATAGTTTGGACCCCCAAAATCAACTTGTTATAATGAGTTTGTAATATCAGTGCTCTTATTCACATTCATACCATGCACACATTTGCATATCTGCCCAAGGACACCAGTGCTACACAAAAACATAACCAAAGGAATGAGGAAACTAATATGCCCCATCTCCTAGGGCAAGACTTATTTTAAGAGATATTAGAACAAAATACAGTGTACATGGCATCTTATTATTAAGTTTATCCTGTACTGGATACAGCGTACTGGATGACATAAACAAAATACAGAATGAGCATTGTAACTTACATGTACCATCGCAAAATATTATATATCACCTTTGCATTAGGATCATTGCAATATCTAAGAAGTTGTGTGATGATTCTTGTTATTCCTGTAGGTACCGTGGCTATGGAGCATATCTTGAGTCTCTTTATGAAAGACGTCAAGTCTGGGCTCAGGCATTTCGATTGGGACTTCGGATTAGGAATAACAACACCAATAACTTTGCCGAAGCTGCCATGAGGGTCTTGAAGGATTCCATCCTACAACGGTCGAAAGCCTTCAATGTTCCACAATTAGTGGACTTCATCCTCTGCAGACTTGAAGGTTTCTACCAGAGGAGACTTCTTCAAGTTGTCAACCAACGCCCACTGAAGTGGAGAATCCAACCCTGCCGTGGATCGACAATCAGCAAAGATGACATATCAAAAGTAAATCTCAATATAAGTCTTAAATATTAAATTTTGAATTCATGTGTAAGACAGAATAGAAATTAGTTGAATAAGTGATATTTTCCTTTTAGGCCCCCCAAAAAAGTTGTTGGATGGCCTTTACCGACCGACCCTCTGAAAACGGCCTGACCTGATCTTTTTTTTTTTGCTTTTTTTTTGCTTTTCACTCAGATTAAAAAAAGCACAATAAAATTATGAGAAAACATGAAAAATACAATCTGATAAGTCATTTTCACTAAAATTATACATAAATATAAGAAATCAAACCTAAAAATTCATTTTCAAATGTAACTTTTTACTCCATTCTTAGTCCTATTTTCTACATGAAATCTGTTCGAAAAATAAAAAAGATACATTAAAAAAAAACTTTTTTCCGACCGACCGACCCAATTTTTCAAAAAAGTCATTCTTGGCCGTCCAAACAATTTTTTTTTCTTGGCCTTATCTGAATGTATTTCATTAATTCATATGAATTATTCAATGCAGGAATGACTTAATGCAAACTGAAAAGTGAAAAGGATAAGATTAAATGGAGGAGAGGAGGAGGGGTGGGGGGGAGTCCTCTCTATCGGAGAGTTGGCCTGTACAATAATTGACTTGAAAAACATTGTGAAGGAATTAGTAAAAGCTTAAAACGTATATACCAATATAAATGTCTATATCATTATGTAAAGATTCAATATTCATCCCAATGATTAATTGTTCCTATTACTCCTGGCAGACTGGGGAGACTACCTACCGGGTCACCAGCCAGAGTGATGGACAATGTCAATACACCGTTGACATGGCTGTTGGTGTGTGTTCGTGTCATGATGGTGTCACTGGGGGTGCATGCAAGCATCAAGCAGCCATTGTGAAGCACTTCAAAGTGGCGTCAGGCAACTTTCTTCCAACATCTGCCACCGAAAGGGCATTGTTGCTTAAAATTGCTACTGGATGTAAGAGAAATTAAGCTTTCTATATTTGCTATAACACATATACCACATGCATAAACCACTTAAAGAGAGATATAACTTGACCCAAAATGAAAAATTACCCAAGAAAAACTGTATAGAAATATTAATGTAAATATGATCTTGCATTTAATGGGATATCCTCACTACATAATTAGCATAATTGTATTGAAAATCCAACTATAACCCAGATTCATCTCAACAGAAAACATTGCAGGTATGTAACTCAATTTTAGCACCCATGATCTTCAGAAAATCAGGCATAATATTCGTGATTCAGTTTTACTCTCTTTTTTCTAATTCAATTAGAATGAAAATTTATTTTCTGTTTGAATTGAAGCTGATGACAATGTTCCATCGGGATGGTTGGGCCCTCTCCAGCCCTCTGAGCCCATGGCAGAAGATCTGCAACAGCCTGAACTGCATGACACATCGCAATCCACTCACCATTGTGAATTGCAGGATCCCCAGCTTGTTCGTGTGGACAGTCTCCGTGCTCAAAGAGACTTGCTTAATGCATTTGACAGACGTCTCCATGGCAACACATCCAACATTTCCAATTCCCGATGTAAGTATATCTTTTTTTATCTTTCTTTAACATTTTTGTTTAGTTCTTAAATATGAGACAGGATTGTGACATATGTTGGGGCATTGTCTAAGAAAGAATTGTTTGATAATTTCAATGTCCCTCAAAGGAGAATGAAACCCTGTAATTAGTGTTTTCTGAGATGATGAAGAGAAATAAGATGACTAGATACTGAAAATTTGAGCAAAATTTGATAATTAATTTTTCAAAGTTTCAGTGATGCTCTCTGATAGGGATCCTTGGGTCGGCAATCGTTACAAAATTTGTGATGTCATTGCGGACAACTCTCCATTCATTCTGTACATGAAATTAAAGATTTTCTTCTTTTTTTAGAAAGTAGACAGTATATCGGTGTTTCTCTTGAGTATAACATTTTCTTTATCAATTCTGCAAGAATTTTGTAATAACCGTGTTAAATCATTCTTAATTTGATATTAACCCATTTTTTGAAAATTTACCACACAAAGTGAATAGGGAGTTGCCTGCAAATTCATCACAGATTCTGCCAAAGTTACCAACTCAAGGACCCCAATTAGAGGACATCCAGATTACTGGATATTGCTCGAATATACTAAGCGCAGACTAATAACAGGGTTTTGTTTTGAGGGGGCGTAATCCGCCTCCCCCCCCCCTCCCCAGCCTGAAAAGTAAAAAAAAAAGTGTCCAAGGGTCTAATCCACCTGCTGCAAGCTTTTGTGACATTTAAACTCAACTGATTAAATTTAGGAAAAAAACATTTCCTGGTCAGTGCATGATATTCATACACTAAGTTCACCAACATCATTGATCATTGATCTCTGTGTTTTGAATTCATGGAAATTTCATTGTTGTATGTTGTTGTTAATTCTAACATGATATCTTACCAGCATGAATTTCTTCCACTTCCAGATTGTTACATGAATATAATTTGTTATAACTTTTTTCAAAAATGATATCAGAAACAAATACATTTATGTTTTGATATATAATGGCTCCTTCTATTTATCCCAAATATACCCAAATAGGAACAAAATGATCAACTTACATGGACACATGTGTGGGTTATTCCATATGTATAATCCAATTAAGATCCAGAGAGGTTTATTTCACAATGTCAAGGGGCAAGTCCACGAAAAAGGTTACCTTGGCCATTATTTATTTATTTTTTTTTTTTTTTTTTGAGGGGGGGGAGGGCTCTATTTCCAAAGTGGGTCGAAATATGTGAATGAAAATCGCATAGAAAATAATTAATATATAAGTGCTTCACTGCTAGCCTTAAAAATCTATCTTGCATATCTCCTCTAGGAATATCGGAACCATACAAAAAATAGTATATATATGGGACTACAAGTGCACTTTTTACCTTTTAATCATTTTTGACAGTAAAATACTTATTATGTAAATTTTTCAGTCGGATTATCTGAAGAACATTATTTTACATCATTTCAGACGTAAATCATTTACCAAATAGACAAAATCTGGTTAATATTCAAACTTTTATAGAGTGGACAAAATTGTAATGTCCGTGACGCTCAAAATGTAATGTCCGTGATGCCAGATTTCTTTCTGTCATTGTCATTTGAAACACTTTTTAATTCAAATTTGTTTAAAATATGTTACAACAATATCCAAGCATGCGTTATAAATTAAAAATATTTTATTAAGATGATTAGACTCACAGAGTTTGTTAACTATTTGTCGGCATGTAAAAAGTTGTGTCCAAAAAATGTAATGTCCATGACGCACAACATTTTATATTATAAACAATAAAAATATATAGAAAACTCTGTAATAAACCAGTTATTATTCAATTACGTAACAGATAGATTCAAAAACTCTGACATTGTCTGTGTCATATTCATCATGTCTGACATGTATTCCCAGATTTGCATGATGTTTTGCCATTGTTTTTTTTTTCATTCATCTGCATGATCTAACTCTTGACATCAATTGTTTTCATCTTTTATTATAACACGAATACTACAACGTAACCATTGATTATGAGGGAATGCTTGGATATCCCCGAATACATACACGTAAGTGCACTTATGAAATTTCTTCTGATATTGTTTTTTTTTATTGCTTTTTGCGTTTGTTTGTTTTTTGTTGTTGTTTTTTTGTATGCCTATTGTAGACTTTGTCAGACTGTTGGGAGTTTGGTGCTTAAACTTGTCTTGATTTTTTGCAATACATATGCTGTTGGGAAATTCCAAAGAAATCATGATTCAATATTTACCTTCAAAGAACTTATATTCAAGGACTTTTTAAACATATCTTAATTCTTGTTCATGAAATTGTTATAATAATTCTAATGTAATTTCCACATAAATGTAATGTGTTTATATACAACAGTATAACCATACCATTCCAAAAATCCTTGATATTTGGAAAGCAAAAAATAGTCTTGTCTGATCCTATACATAATGAACTTTAATTCATTATAATAATTAGGGATATTTTGTTTACACCAAAAGTCCATTATTATTTCAAATAAATTTCTGGTGAACACAACAATTAACATAATGATTATTCATTCCAATTTCAGCTCCAGAAAGTGACAACCTGGTGGGAAAAGTCCATGAAATGTTCATGGAGATGGAGAAGCATCTGAGCGAAGACCCAGAGACCTTTGCTGAGCCATTTCAGGCAATGCTAAGGTCCTACAAAAGGCTGACCACTAAGAGTAACTTGGTGTCAGCTGTCAGAATGTTTGGCAGATACAGTGGTGTTAACCTTGCCAGGCGAAAGGTAAAACAGAAGTCCCAAACAACCGCAATTCTACCAACATCAGGGCATAGCATTAGGGTGCAGCCACTGGCGATTGCCCGCAGGAAATTGAAGATTGGGGGGAGGAGACGATTGACAGCAGGCCGCCCAACCAAACAGGCTGCAGTTGATGAGCATGGCTATGCCAGAGGCAGTCAGTCTTCCCAGCTTCCCCGTAAAAGGCGTGCGGCTGCCCCTCATTCTTTAAGTCATGCTGTGACAATGTGTCAGTCCCTGGGGAAAACGCACAGTGCCAAATGAATTATCATGGTTTAGGAAGATAAACCCTGGGATTTTTCCTTGTGAGATTACTTAGAGCACAAATTCTTAATATTACTGTAGAATTTCACCTCATGCTTAACAGTCTAGTAATTAACACTTTTTGAGCAATGATTGTCTGCTACAGATTGGAGGCAGCCATATTTGTGGTTCAGCTGTGCTGTGATTACATTTTGTCGTAGACGGCTGAAATGTGATGAAAATAAAGGACATGTCCAACAAATCGTCATCATAGCACAGCTGAACCAAAAATATGAATGCTCCTTTAGCATTGTGAAGCAGATGATCATTGCTCAAAGGGTGTGAATTAGTTAATAGCATTCCAAAAAGTACAATTTTAAAGTACAGGTAATGCTGCCTAAGTCAAATCTCTTGGAACCACAAAAATCTCTATGCCTTAGGAGAAATTTGACTTAGAAGAGGTAAATAACACAGGTTTTATATGGTTTGGTCCAAAAAAATCGCATCGACTTGGGCAGTTATGCGAAGTTCGACTTAGGCGGAGTTGACTGTCATAAATAATTTGTGCTCTAAACAATCTTACTTCATTTGGCCCAAAGCCCAAGGGTTACCTTCCCTTTGATTGTATCCTCAAACATCAAATGCTATGTTTTGATGTCATGACACGTCTGCAGCAGAGATTTTCTTGTGAGCGCTATACAGGCTGGAGTCCTTGTCCAATCATATTCTAATTTGGTATGAAGGTGAAGTGGAAGAAGCTTTTTTTCATTTGGGTGTGGAAGGCAACCATGATCTAAAAGAAAAATTTCAGATCTTTTGTGAGCACTTTTCAGGCTGAGTTCTTTATCAACTGCTTTCAGGTTTGCTATGGAGGTGTATATAAATAAATACATGTAGTACAATATATAATGTTCACTACTAAAATAAGTGTCAAAGAGCTCCCATTTCTGTATTTCTGCATCAGTTGTTTAAAACTTGGTCAGGATAATCCTTGGGTAATACATGTATCACATGAGTGTTGATGATAGGTCAAAAAGCTCTCAATTCTCTATTGCTGCATCATCTGTGTCCTAACATTGTACAGGGAGCGCAGGTAATATTGAAGACAACATTGAAGTCAAAGGTCATCTATTCTATAGGTCAAAGGCAGAAGAAATTTGGCTGTTTGTCTTTTAAATGGGCGGAGACATCATGGTAGGATGTTTTTTTTGTGTGGAAATAGCCATCATTGTCTATAATGCAGTGGGTTGGGGGTACATGTGCTCGGCGACATGACCCACTGATTGCAATTTCGATTCTGGTCATTCCATAGGTTTTGGTCAACTTTTGATGTGATGTCTTTGTAACAAAGGGATCAGAATTTTCATTTCATAATGATGATCAATTCAGATTTGGTAGGCTTTGAGATGCTACTGAAATATTGCCCTCTTTTTTCGGTAATACACATTTCAATTTGAAGACTTTTATACAATTTGAAGCAACAGGGAGAGTAAAATCTATCTTGGTTACATGGTCATCATATTGTTTTTACATTACGAGAAATTATCAGGTGTCAAGTCACACGTGCCAAGGTATTTGAGAAATACTACTAGGTGTGAAGCCATTCTTTGCCGGAAATATTGTGTTTTGGATTGTCAATTCTTCTGTATATATGTCTGTAGGTAGGCTTGTCTGTC